CTCATGAAGTAATGGGTTAAGAAATTTTGCATCTTGATTGGGAAAAATATTTAGTACCATGTACAAAGTTGTTAATCCAACAAATTGTATATCATTCAAAGCATAAAATACATAAAAAATACATAAAAAATGACAACGGAATGTGTTTTTTGAACATCATCTGTCTGGTACCATATTGGATTGAAATGGAATGAAGAAAAATTGTCAGCTTTGATAACGGGAATTTTGACTTATGATTTTTTTCTAAACTTGGAAAAGAAAAAAAAAGCATATTTGGCATTATTTGCCACTGGGGAATGGGTCTGTTAATCTGACCCGTGGTGACACTGGTAAAAATGCATGTTTTTCATTAATTTTTTTTGGAAAAACAGTTTGGTTTGTGAAATATACATTAAATATTATATAAGTACCTGTTGTTTGTAATAATCTTCTAGTCTTTCTTTAATCTTATACTGTACTTTTTTCTAGCTACATGTACCAGCCTTTCCAAGTGAATATTAAAGTAAATAAACTTTTTTTTTCCTGAAAATTCAAATTTGAGATTTCTTTCAAAATCACCCAAATTTTACTCTTTTTAGTGTTTTATATACAAGACATAAAATACAAATTTTTTGTATTTTTAAAGTCTTGGGAATTAAAAAGTATATATTGTCTTTTACAAAGTATATATAGGTTTTTTTCCCCTATAATATGAATTTTTTTGTACAGCATGAAAGAAATAATTAAAATTTGAAAAAAATAAAGTAATTAAAAAAGTAAAAAATTTTTTCATATTTCTCCACAAAATTACACTAAAAAAGAAAAAAGTTTTTATATTTTATTATGATATTTTATTTTTTCATGTAAAATTTGGGAAAAAAAAGTGAATATCAGAGGCAAAAAAAGTTAAAACAATAAATTCTAATTAAAAATTTATAAATTACTTTAAACCATGTATTGAGAACAGGTATAGATCATTTCCAACAGTCTTGCTTGTTGTGTTGACATTTTCGCAACATGGTTGTGTGGTCTGCCTTGTAATCAAGAGGTCTGGGGTTCAAATCCCTTTAAGTGCCTGAAGATTTTTCAGGTTAACAATTATCAAGGTGGCAGTGATTTTTTTTTTTTCAACTTTCAAAACAACCTGTGGCTTTATAAATGGGAAACTATAGCTTGATTAATCAGAAAAGAGGAAAAATTTCAACCACTCAAAATGGAATTTTACCCATACATTTAAAAAAAGTGTAATTCAATTTAAAGGGGTTCATTTGTCATGATGGGACTGAAATATTTTTTCCAGATAAATGTACCATTTGATGAATGTTTAGAACACTAATCTTTGTACAAAACCTTTAGATCATTTGCGCACTTCGTTTTTCCAGAATAATTATTCAAATTGTAAAAAGATGACCCAAAATGAAATGGCTAGACTTTAAATAGATATTAATTATATATAATAATTTATAAAGGTCAAAATAAAATTATTCTGAAATATTCAAGAATGTGCCCCATTTGGTAGAGACGTAACGGCCGTGACAAGACCAAAAAATTGTAGGCGTATATGCCGGTTTTCCTGTAAAGGCAGACATCTGTGTAATATCAATTTGTAAAATCTGTCGGTTTTGCAGTCTAAGTATGATCGAAATGTCTTGGCTACGAAAGACTCGAGATCTCCAAATTACTTCGAAATTATTTACGAAAGTTTTAAGTCCTCGGAAACAAAATTGGCATCAAATAAATAAACTTAATATTATTAGTCATCAAATTCATAACATAATTTTTCTTTTAACATCCTTATGATTTTTCTTTTTTAAAAAATACCTTATGAGCTTAACAGGTGATAAATTTTGCCGTGAATTTGGTCGAAAAAAATAACCCGGAAAAATTTTCGGAAAATTTAAACCCAATTATTTGGGTAAATTTAGAGACGAAAAAGATTATCTACATCTCTGGGTAATTCTAATTTTAATATCCCCCTTTGCAATTTTTAAAAATACAAAAAATTTTTTTCCCATAAAAAATGTCTTTTTTAAAAATTCTGGAATATAAAACAAAAAAAAGTAATTAAGGGGGATAGTAAGTTAAATAATTTTCAAGCCTCAAGCACTAAAGACCCCAAATTAATTTTTCTATCCATTCATAGAAATTCCCTTTTACCTTTCAAATTTATTTCCCCTAAATTTCTAATACCAATTCAAGCTCAATTTCACATTATTTTCATATCAAGGAACTGTTATGTAATATTTTATATTTGGCGACGATATCAATGCTTTTAGCGTTTTAGAAACTCCAGTTCTTTCAATTTGATTTACAAAATAAGATATTATAGTCTGCTTTTTCCTACCCTCCACAAATTTACACAATTCGGCGTTTCGTTTTTGCTCACATTCAAGTTTTGCGAATAGATACACGGTGGTTCTAAAGCACTCAGTCATGTGTGCCGGCCACCTTGAAATGTTATTTTATGGACTACGTATGATGACAGTATAGAGGCAAACGACTTATAGACAACGTTAAAATTTCTCAAAATTCATAATCTTTCTTCATTCACCATTGAATTTAATTCATATGGAATTCATTAATTAACTGCAATGTGTTCTTATTATTCTGACAAAATACCATATTAGTACTATAAGTATGATATTTTTCTAATAATAATTTTTGCTATTCTTCATATATTGCAGCTAAGCCAAGTAAGATGAGCAAATTCTTTTAATCGGTAGGACACAATTAAAATTGTATAAACGTAACATCTAGTAAATATAATTTATTTCTATATAGGCATATCTATATATGCTTTTCAAAGTATCAAAAAAACACGTGTTATATCGCTTATATACAAGAAATATGATAATCCCTATTTGAGCAGCATAACTCGCCCTCCTCTCAATGCAATAACGGGTTAACTCCTGTTAACATTTAATAGGAGTTAGCCCGGTACTGCTCTGAGATGACGATATGTTATAAAACTTCACGTTACACAACCTACATTTTGCGAAATATGTATTACCTTTTTATAATTATAAAATGTATGCCATACAAATATATACAATCAAGGTACAGGTATATATTGATTTCATAATGTTTGTTTGGATACTTAAAACAACGTTTCTTTTCCTTGCCTGGGCATTAATTGTCACCAGTTAGAAAAAAAATTAAATAATTATAACCCTCTTTATAGCCCTTTTGTTTTACACTTATTTTTTTTTTTTGCTTTTTCATTGACGTAATTCATTTATTTCACAATTCATTTCATTGACGCAACAACGTCATACAATTAATCAAGTGCAATCATAATTCGTATTAAATTGTAACTCTGATTTGCTTTTTGTTTGGTCACCACAGATTTATTTTTGCTTAAAATCCTTTGTTTTATTTTTTTCATTGCAAATATTTACTTAATCACGGAAACTAAAATCTGATATATGCGTCTTTAACTATTTAAAACTTTCAAAAAATGGATGGCATGTACTACCAAATGTATTTCTTTTTCTTAAGTTTATATATTTGTAAGGCAGACACATTTATTTATATTTTGCTGTTTATATTGAACTGCCATTCTTGTGAGTATAACAAAATATTGCATCCCATGCATTTTTGGTCAACTCTACTCTAAAATATTTTAATAGAAACAATGTATTACAAAAGTCCCTTTAATATATAATTTTTGTCCCAGTCTGACTAAAGTTCAGATTTCTTAGATATAGATCTGTTTGCCACCGTGTTTGTTTTGCCATCATTGTGTTTGGATTTTTCCGATAAAGCTATTTTTAGATTTTCCAGCAGTTAAATTAAGAAACCGCATCGCTTTCAATATTGTTAAGCTCGCCAATGATTGGCTGTTTGAAAAGTCACGACATGGTGACCTTCTATTGGCGCCCGTCAGATCCTAATGTGTAGCTTTAATTAGGCGCTGATTTTAATCAGATTGAATTTAGTTCAAACTAAGTATCATAATCTATAAAAATACTGTCACGAAAACGTTTAAGTACTCACTTTTCGTTAATATGACCTGTATATACTTATTAAACAAAAATAATTACTATGTAAACTTTATAAACATCTTGTTTTATATTAACTTATGGTTTGGCAAACATTTAATACATTTAATTTAGAGTATGTTTATTTGGACTGCGTGTCTGTGTGTCGATAAAGTTTAAAATGCACTTAAATGTATAATATTATAACATTTGTTATGTTAATAAATTAACCTTAGCTAAACATATGTTTTAGTTTTGCTTATTTTTTAACATCCGATTTTATCACCATCTATTGTATGTTTATATGTCAATGTTCGCAACATTTCTTTTAATAAAAACACATTTAAATAAATAGTTCTAAGGATATTTCTAATTTAATATTTTTCCTTGATCTGTAAGTATAAGACTTTAAAAATGAAAATGCTAAATGGTGTAAAAATTGTTGAAACATAAGTCTGCAAAATTGCTTAAAAGGACTTTTCCAGCTTCCATTTTCGATCTGTCCGTTATCAATTTTTGGAAAATAAAGACGTTAAAAGTCAGCCAGCAAACAGTATAAAGCCAGATAAGACTACACAGACGTGCACGCTAGCCTGGCTTTGTACTGGTGGCAAAGTCCAATCACGTTTGTCTCCAGCATGGCAAGGAAAAATCATTCTAAACACTTGAAAACAAAAACACATGCAAATTTTCACTCCTGCAGTTAATTTTTTTGGCAATACAATATTAAATATACTTTCCAAATATGAAATGAATATTGCACTTTTTTATTTTGAATAATATGTTCATTTTTTGTCTACCGTTTTTGCAATACATTCATATATTAATGTTTTTTATTTGAGTTGTCAATAAAACCTGAAAACTAGACTGTTTAATACATGTATTATTTAAGAAATAATATCGGTGTGACCGGTGTTTATCGGCTATTTAAAACCGGTTTGAAGTTTTGATTCGTAGCTATTGACCACGAAGACCGTATTTTTATTTTTGTTTAATATTACCATTATTTATAATACATGTATATTATCTTTGTCATTTCAGATATCGTGAAAACTACAGATGTTATAGTACGGGACGCCAGCTCAGTAAAATCTGCTAATTCAGTAAGCACTGAACAACGATCTGCAAATCAGTCTCCTAACAATAGTCCCCATGCTTCGAATAATTTAGTTGCAGTTAACACGTAGCACTAAGTTAATTACTATTTATAGATGTTATGACGGATTAAAATCTATTTATAGTGTCGCGTCTGCAGCTTGTCAGAACTCGGTTTGAAAACGAGGCTTCGTATACAATACATCAGATAAAACGAAATGGAAACGAGGCTGTTCAATGTTTTAAATATGTCAACGCATGCGCAAAGCTGTGGAAGTTACAATTTTGCAAAGATGGGAGAGAAACAGAAATAGAAATGTCGAGCATTACAATTATGCCATAGTAATTTGTTGGGAGAAATGATGATAGCTGTTTACGATAGAGAATCAGTCATCGAAATCTTCCTTTTTATTTGTTGAAATATTTTATAAACTGTGTCCAGAGTTTAGAGGAGATTTTGTGTTTAGACTGTCGTACTTTTATGCTCCTTTTCAACTGCTTACATACGTGTTATATAAATAAAACAATGTATATTTGTGTCTAGAAAGAGGACCTATTTAATAAGTGAATAAGTCGTGGTGTGCTGATTCGAATAAAGGATTGTTAATTAGGATTTTTCTAAAGTCGTATCCAAGGATAGAAGAACGCGAGATGCATGTGAATTTAGTATTATAAGGAATTTAAATGTTCTTTTCTTCAAGTTAAAATTACAGCTAATAAGGTAGCCATTTGGAGTTCTTTTTTCAAGGATTTCGCTAGTACAACAAATCCAGTCAGTAGTAAAATGTTCCAGACAACAAGTTTGCGCCACCAAAAATAGTATGGGATGTTTTTACAATGCGCCATTGATCAAACTTAGCTAGGTTATATTCCGTGTAGACTGGAACATCAAGATACAAGTCAACCTGGTTTACAAGGAGCACTACAGCAATCAAAATGTTCTATGAAAAAATTGATATGATAAGGGGCGACTGAACCTAGGACTATCCATGAGAATTCATTTCATCATGGTGAAAAGTTACCAATATGTCGACGTAATATATTGATTAAAAATCCATGTTCAATAAGTTGACCAATTTATAGTTTATCTAATTTACGATATTTCCGAACATAACTAAGGTACAACAATGTTCTTTCATTTTCGTTATGACTTCACATTTTTAGAAATGTTATTTGTTTTATCTGTTGAAATATTATTTTATTATTTTCCTGTTGTTTTTTTTTTAAAGATCATACATCAAGCGTTGTAATAATTCCGTTATTTACATTCGAACTAGGCTTTTACAATTTTACAATTTAAAAAAAAAACACATTTGATTTATATATTTTAATGCAAAAGTTTTAAGATGATTACCGATACGCTTATATATAAGAAAAAGCAAGTAAATATTTAAGAAACTTGAAACGCTTATTTATTAAAGAAAAGACAAATGTAACAAAGTGTTAACGGTCAATGTTGATATAACGCTATATACAATACATGCAAAGTCCAGTAACAACACGTATACATTTTTAAATTAATCTTCAACATTTATTTACGCGTTTCGATAAGAAACAGTAGCTATATCAGGGTTTTTTTCATTTATTTACCCTTTTTACGTAACCTTATTAAATATTTAGAGAAACACCTTACATTTTTTACTGACATGTCAATTTAATACACAGTAGTCATAATGTTTTTGAACATTGCAAAAGATTAAAGTTAAAATGATGCAGGTTTTATATGCAAGATATATCTTATCATTGAAAAATAGAGTTGTCATGTATTAAACAAAATAACAAAGTAATAATGGATAATGCACGGTTCGAATTCAATTGCGCAGGAATATAGAATCACGAAGGCCAATATGCATGAGTGATTAAGCATTTGAACGATAAAACGTGCATTATTATTGTATAATGCAAGAAAAATTAATATCTATTTCCATTCATTTCCATTCTAACATGCTAATAAAAAGTATTGATAAAAATATGTTGAACTACATTGAGCGAGTAAGTGATTTTCTTGATGCCATTTGGATTATTGGCGTCAATAATGACGTAATATGACGTGTAAGCAAACGTCTTTTATGGTGTGCATATATCTTTTAATAATGCACTTGATTTTCCTATCTGTTTGATAGGGAAATAGTAAGAAGCGTGTTAGAATGATATTTATTAGCATTTCTAACAGTTGCTATCTTTAGCGAAGACATGGCGTCATTTTCATTCAATATCCGTATATAGGCAATACATAATATGCGGAGATCTGTTCTTAAATAATCTATAAAAATCTCAAATTTAAAGTCTAGATGCGCCAAGTTTGACAGTAGACCGTTTTTATTCCTAAACTTACATTTCTGTAATAGATTTTGTACCCAAAGACATAGCACTTGGTGTTATTCTTGACCGATAATGAACATCAGATATGTATAATCGTAATTTTGATGATATATCTAAAAACTATACGAAATATAGAACAGAATAGAACATATTTTATTACATAATATGACTTGAACATAACCATAACAGTTCCTCGTCACCACACATATAATATACAACATACATTCAATACACCGAACATGAACGTACAAATATACAAAATGATAGAAATTTTCCGATAAATACTGTTAGAAAATGATATTTTTTCAATTATTACCGTTAGAAAATGATATTTTTCAATAAATACTGTTAAAAATGATATTTTTGAATAAATACTGTTAGAAAATGATATTTTCCAATAAATAATGTTCGACAATGATATTTTTGAATAAATACTGTTAGAAATTGATATTTTCCAATTAATACTGTTAAAAATGATATTTTCGAATAAATACTGTTAGAAAATGATATTTTCCAATAAAAGCTGTTAGAAAATGATATTTTCCAATAAATAATGTTCGACAATGATATTTTTGAATAAATACTGTTAGAAATTGATATTTTCCAATTAATACTGTTAAAAATGATATTTTCGAATAAATACTGTCAGAAAATAGAAAATGATATTTTCCAATAAATACTGTTAGAAAATAATATAATTCCTAGTTAAAATATTTCTATTTGTATTCAAGGTTGAGCATGCAATTTGAAATAACAGGTACAGTAACAAAATGTACAACAATTTTCATGAAAAAAAAAGATTGATAAACTTTGAAATTTTGTATAAAGTTCTATCTAAATAATTATTTCTTTTGAGTATTTTTATAAGGTTAAGCGGCCAAGGCTGCTGCAATTTGAAGTAACTGCATGATACAATAACAAAATGTACAACAATCTCCATGAAAAAAATAGATTGTCAAACTTTTAATTGTTGCTTTAAGTACTGTCGGGCTCATTTGTTCTTTTGAATAATTTTTAAAGGGTAAAGCGGGCAGTAAAAGTGTGATTTTTAGAACATGCATTGTTTTTATGTTATACCAGTATTTGAATATTATTTCGGATTTTACGAATTTTACTTTCTTAACCCTTTCCCCCATGAGCATATTGTGAAAAATGGCCATTTTCACTGAAAAGCCTCCTCTTACAAGTTCAAACTGCTATGAAACTATGAAAAATGCGTCAATACTAATCAAACTTGGCACAAATGTTGACTGGACCATTGCCTTTGTAACGACATGCTCAGTCTTAAATTTCCTGTTACCATGGCAACGAGGGGACATCTCAAAATTGCCAAAAATCACTATTTTGCCTCGATTTTTCCCATCAAAATTTATTTCAAAGTGCTGCAACTTCTCAAGGGATTGAGATAGAGTCAAAGGCTTTTCAGCGTTGATTACACGTTACCTTATGATCGACCTGGGGTCATTTTAAGCCTCTCACAAGTCCTAAATTTTCTTGGCGATGAGGGGGACTCCGCCCCCTTCAAAACCCCAAACAGAAGGGGCACATCCCCCTTCTGGCAACCCCCTGATGTATCTTTTGGATGGGGGGCGGCGCCGAAAAAGTGCCCACTTATTTTAGCAACATTTCTCAAACGAAAACATGTGTTTGGGACCCACATAGGACATTTTTTCACTATTCCAGGCCTATAAAAGGGGGGGGGGTCGAAAGTGCGTTGTTTCGCGTATATATGAGGTAAAGGGTTAATTAATAAAATACCATTATACTTATCATCTTGTTAACACGTGATACATTGATACACGTGATACATTGAAACACGTGATACATTGATGTAATACCGTAAACATTATTATCTAGTCTTTTTGTAAACTTGTAAGTTATTGATTCAAGAGCTATCTGCGTCTATGAGATGAGAGTTGATACTTAAGTTAACAGGCAGTACATTCCTAACCCTGCTGGAACCAAAAGATGAGTAGGTTTTTAACACCAGTATAGAGCCAGGCCAGCCTGGACGTGCGTGCAGTCTGACACACGCTCTTTAACTGTTTGAAGCACAGTTTTGTATTTTGATATCTTGGATTTTCTGAAACTTTACATGAAATGTTCTAATTTAAAGGGCATCTCTATAACAAATATTTAGCAGTATATGATTCATTTTGGAAAAACCAAAATACAAATAAATCAACATACAAATCAAAGTACATGACCCTTTAAACTGCGGAATTTGTCAAATGGGTTTGCCCTGCTTCGGCATTCGAACAGCCTATATTCACAATGTATATTGTTTCAATTTAGAAAAACGAAACAAAAATTGAACTCCCAACAGTATAAGAGTCTGTTTAGACCAGACGGACGGACGGATGGCCAGGCTCAATTCTCTCTTAATGGTTGCCAAATGCTTATCACATTTTTCCTGCAAGTTAAGCGGTTATTTAAAGGTAAACTTAAATTTGTTTTACTTAGTCAAAAGAATACAACTGCATCTTTACATTTACTGTTGAAATACAGGTAATATAATGGGCAAAGATAAGTAATTATATCGAGGATAAATGTATTGTAAGCATTATATATGTATTAAAGGTAGGAACTGTCTACCTTAAATATCTAAATTAGAAAAAAAACAGTCAAATGAAGAGAGATGTGAGCTTAATATAAGTTTATATATATAATAACATATAATACAGCGATGTACGTGGTTCAGTATTAAGGCAGGTCTAGTCAAAACGTGTTACAACTGAGCTTTTTTTTCATATGTTATTTCTATATATTTTTCCAAATACAACTTTGTCTTTAGAATGCTCTCTCTATACTAATAAGGAGCTATTTGTAGGCTAGTTAATTGTTGGTTTTATTGATAGTTTGAAAATAAATGCATTAAAACAATACAATATATATATTATATTCCTAATAAATTTTAATTTGAGTTTTGATGGTTTTTTCCTATCCGTTACAACAATAAACAACAAATACGGGAATGATACTCATATTTAGTAACAAAAAACCTTTAAACAACTCAAATTTTGACTTTTTACACACGTTGCTAAATGGTCACGCACGTGGCTGGAGTTTTTACTTCATCTGGTACAAATATGTATAATTATGTCCTTTCTTGTAGAAACCGAGAAGATGGCAACTCGCAGAGTTAATTTCTTAACTCTCAATGCACTTAGTAAGATTTGAAATTGCATTTCTTATATGATACACACATATAACACTGACATGTTTATATATTCTGAAAGACAATTCTACTGTTAAGCATATTGCAATTTTGTAAATGTTGATAAATGACATAGATATTTCTTACTATTATTACAAATGTTGGGCTTTTTATATACTGAAAGACAATTCTACTGTTAAGCATATTGCAATTTTGAATATGTTGTTAAATGACACAGATTACACTCCTTACTATTATTATTATAAATGACTGGTTGTTAACATTTTTGTGACGGTCCAATCTTTCATAATGTTCATCATTATTTTTTATTGTTTAAAACATTTTCATATAATGCTTGAAAATTGATGAAGATAAAAGATGATTTATTAAATGTTGCTGGTGAACTGTGAGGTATACTCGTAACTTTATAGATATTATTTAAAGTCAATTCTTTCGCAGTGAAAATCACATTTAACAACTTTATTAAATTTTTATCAACAGTATAAAAATATGTATACTATAAAATAGGACGTTTTTTTATATATATATTTTTTAAAACTACAGCTGAACTCAGTGTGACGAAAAATCAAACTAGAATTAAACTATTATTATCAACATTTTCTATCAACATTTTTTTTTCCATTTCGTTTCACATGTTTATGAATGATGTTTTTTTCTCAGGCGTTTCATTCGTCTTAACCAACAATACGTTAAGTTTTGATAAATAATTCAAATTAATATACCTATATTAAAATAATTCCAGACTGTTTTGTTTTCTTGATTTTATTTTTTTTTATTCATTAGAAAAACTTTGAAAACGTATACAACAATGTTATTGCGTTATTTTAGTTACACGGTTAACAACGAATCGAATGACGTTGACGTTGAAAATCCCTCTCCATTACGGCGTCTTTAGGTACCTGCATATAAATGCCACCTTTGTACAGCCGTGCCCCGTACACAACATACTGACTTTTGTTCCATGAATTTAATGCACCTTCTAATAGTAATGGACTTTTTCAACTTCAAAACAGACCATCCCGAATATAACACAAGTTAAATAAGATACCGTTAAAAGAATGTTTTCTAATACTATCAGTTAATAAAACGATTAATGCCCGATTTTGATAAAAGTTGCCCGTTATTTTTGGAACAACAAAAACGATGGCAGTTCATTTCATAAATTACTACACTAAAACATTTCAGTGGCAGTTTTTTCCATAAATTGCTACACCCAAAAATTTTCCATCATTTATGATTGGATTTAAAAGATGTTATTGTAATTAAACTGTTTTATGAGAATTAATTAATTAATTTATATGCACACAGTTGTATTTATATTTAAACCTAAATTAAAAAGAATCGTTAAGAAATTTGCTATTTCTTGAACAAAAATGTTATTGTTACATTATTTGTTATTTCAATTTGTTGAATTTCTTAAGATTTAAAATCAGATTTTTATGTACATTGCAATACTTCTTATGGCAAATATTAAAAACATATATTATTGTTTTAATTTTTTATAAAACAATATATACAATTTTGTAATTATTGTTTATTTACTGTAAGATATGTACGATGTCCATATTCCAAACAGAGTTGTCTCCATTCTGTCCTGGCGAAAACGCCGGGGCTGAACATTTTGATTTTAAATAAGAATGAATAAAACATAAGTCATGTTTATGTATTATTTATTTATCAGTATCTGATATGAATATTTGAGCCGCGTCACGACAAAACCAACATAATGGGCTTGCGACCAGCATGGATCCAGACCAGCCTGCGCATCCGCGCAGTCTGATCAGGATCCATGCTGTTCGCTATCAGTTTCTCTACTTGTAATAGAGTTGGTAAGCGAACAGCATGGATCCTGATCAGACTGCGCGGATGCGCAGGCTGGTCTGGATCCATGCTGGTCGCAAACCCATTATGTTGGTTTTGTCGTGACACGGCTCATTTGTAATTATGTGAGATTGTAAGATCATGTTTTAAATCATTCAGTTTGTACTTTTGATTGTTGATATGTTACAACATGCTTTATATTTGACTTATGGAACTATTTTGTCATTTTTTCACTCGCGTAGTAATACATTCACAGCTGATCACACGATATGTCTGGATAATAAAATAGTTCATTTTCGATGAGTTTGATTTATTCTTATTTTTCCTGACAGTCCTATAAAACAACCCTCCTATATGCCTTTTTATTTAATAGAGCACTCGGCTTTGCTCCTGAGGTTAGTGTCGTTACTTTCAGAGCACGTGGCCTTTAATGTCAAATGTTTGATCCCGTACCAAAATACTATGTAATTCATGTATGTATAGAAGCTCTTTTTAAAGTAGCTTACAAAGTATCGGTGAATGTATTCAGGTATCCTTTCGTTAAAGATAAATTCAGTATGGAAGGATATCAGAAATTTTCTAAGCCAGTAAAGCCAGCAAAAGTCGAGCCGCTAAATGACCTTAGAAATGCAAAAAAAATGTGTTTGAA